TAAGACTGACAATTTGGTTAATAATGAAGATTCTCTATCAGATTCTGATGACGAATTAGAATTTGAACTTCCACCACATCTGTCCCTAATACTCCTCTTATTACAGAGGATAGGACTCATATTTTTAGTACACTACATAAGATGTGGCATCTCATGGAAGAAATATTTAAATATTTTAAAACATACGTCGATAAAGGTTTCTCTTATATCGCTGAAACAGTAGACACCGTTCTCCTCCAGATTCAGATGGCGAATTTGATGATTCAGCTGAACAAATTCTATTCGATCAACTAAAACACCTTCCTCAAGATTTATAGTCTTTTACGATCATTGTCACTGATTAGTCAGAAGAGTTCATCACCAATACCATTGCAGTTCTCCTGTAGCCACTATTCTCATAAAAGTGAAAAGATCTTTGATCTCTTTACATTTTCCATTTTCAGTTAATTAGTTAATGAACTAACCATCATTTTTTTTTATAGAACCAACTTAGGCATAAATGATTTCTCTTCAACATAGCATAAAATTTGTTTTTGTCTTTTGTTTTATCTTGTTTGTTAATCCTGAAATATGGATATTCTTCACTTAGGTTAAGATTGATTTTGGAGGGTGCTTCGTAGGATCTTCTAATTAATCATAGATTAGTTAGTCCGAGATTTTTTAATTTCTTTGAATTGTATTTTATATAATTTATTTTATGTTTTTTATATTTTATTTTGTATAATTTACTATCTTCAATCACCTTTAAAAAAAAAAAAAAGTTATAAAAAATAAAAAGAAAAAAGTAAAATAGAAATAAAATGAAAAAAGAAAAAATTGATAAAAGTAACGAAAGATTACAAAAATAAACAAAAAAAAATAAAACAAAACTAACTAAAAAATGAAATAAATAAAAACGAAAAATAGAAAAAGAACGAAAAAGAAAAAGATAAAAAAAAATATTAAAAAGAAAAGATACGAAAATGAAAAATCTTTCGAAAGACTAGGTGAGAGAATAAAAAGTTTAAAAAAGAAAAAACAAAAAATTAAAAATAAAAAAAAAATTTAAAAAAAGAATTAAAAAATAAATACAAAAAAGAATAAGAATACGAAAGTGAAAAATATAAAAAAATAAAAAAAAAGATAAAATAAAAAAAATTAATAAAAAAAGAAAAAAAACAATGAAAAAAAAATAAAAACGAAAAAAATAAAATTTAAAAAAAAAAAATAACGAATATTTAAAAAAATATAAAAAAATATCGGGGGGAGAAAAAAATAAAAAAAAGATTAAAAAAAAACTAAAAACAAACAAAATGAAACGAAATAAAAAACAAAAAAGATTAAAAATTTTTAAATTTTTAAAAAGAAAGAAAAAGAAAGATCGGGGGAGGGAAAAATTTAAAAAAAAATTATATATCGATTGAAAAAGAAAAAAAATATATTAAAAATCTAAAAGAAATACCGGGGGGGGGGGAGGAGATTTAAAAAAATCAATAAAAAAAATAGAAAAAATGCCGAGGGGAAATTTAAAAAATAATAAAAATTACCTGGGAGGGGGTGGGGGAATTTTTAAAAAAATTAAAATAAAAATCAATATAAAAAATACCGGGGGAAGGGAAAAAAATTCAAAAAAAAAAGAAAAAAAAAAATTCGAAGGGTGGGTGGGAGAATAAAAAACGAAAATAATAGTAAATTAAAAAAATAAAATATCAGAAGGGGGGAAAAATAATGATATATTAAATCTAGATTAGGTTAGTGTGCGGCGATTTCGTCACCGCTAGATATGGTTATTGTACTATTTTCTTGATATTTAGTTATGATATATCCTTTATTAAGTTATAAATTAAATGATATTTTGTATTTTTAGTATTAGTGCATTTATAAAATGTTAATTGATTATTTGTAACGATCTTTTATTATTTTTTTTATTATAATATTTTTACCCACCCCGATTTTTTTAATTTCTTTTTTTATATTTCGCGATCTTTTTTAATATATATTTTTATTCTTTTTTCTCCCGTTATAATTTTTTATTTTTATATTTTATATATTTTTTTTTATTTTTATTCGTCTATTTTATTTTTTTTGTTTTTCTAATTTAGTTATTTTTTTTTGTCTAATATTTTTTTTTATTGATTTTTTATTTAGTATTTATATTTTTATTCGTCCTCTTCCTCCCGTTATTATTTTTTTACTTTCTATTTTTTTTTTGTTTTTCTATTTGTTTTATATATATACTAGCAATTCTACCTAGGCAATGCCCTGGGATCACTTCGCAATGAAAAAAGGTTAAGTTTTAAAAATTCTAAGATAAGTTAAGTTTCGTTTGGTTAGGTTGGAATGAAAATTGAGTTGATTTGGGTTGAAAATGGAGTT